CGAGGCTTTTTTTGACTCTTGACAGCAGAGGATGTGTGGGCGCTTCAGGGGGGGCAGGCAAGACGTGGGCCACAAACTATCATCTGGCGGGCCACAAATGGCCCCCGTGCCGCATGTTTGAGACCCCTGCGCTAGGACTTCTTTCTCTTGAAAGAGGTTTTAAAACAGATTGGCAACATGTAGCATTTCTGACCCTCCAAATAATAATAATAAAAAAACCTTGGCCACTAAAAGGCACAGTAGAATATCTTCAGTTAAACAACCCCACTACCATATTGGTAAGAAAAATTTAGGGGTGGATGGGGTGCAGCCCTCCAAGGTCCAAGGATGAATGGGTTTATCCTAGAGACTTCTGGAGGTTGCCTGACCCTGTTTTAGAGTATCATGGGCATAATCAAGAAGTGTTAAATACGCAAGCAATACAGAAGGGCCAGAGAAGCGGTAGACTTCCAAATGTTCATAGGCTGCTACTTCCACCAGGCCTCATCATTTACTAGGCTGGTAGAAGATAACAGGAAATGGAGTCCAGCATCTCCAGAAGGCCAACGGTTCCCTAGAACCACAATGCAGTATAACACGATTATAAAAAAAGATCCACTATGAAATCCACATCAACTGACATAAAGCAGGCAGACTGCAGTCGAAGTCAAGCAAAGAAGAGCAGTCTCCAAAACAATATTTCAAATATGTATAAAATACCCAAGACATTCACTCCAGCCCGTCTTGCTTCAAGAATCTCTCTCAAAGCATTGTTTACAAGGTTTCATCTTCACAGCAAGACCAGTCCTTTATTGTTGCTTTTTTTTCACATTGAGAGGCAAGGCATAATAGTGAGAAATAATTTGAACAAGGATCATGCTGTTTATAAAAAGGAAAAGCAAGCTTGCCAGCCATATGAGCAAGAAAGTGTTCTGCCCTTGGAACTCTAGAAAATAAGCAGGTGCCAGCCACAGGCCTTGCCCAGAGAGCCACGCCAGGAGCAACATCGCAGCTCGCCACCAGGACATCCTCAACAGAGGCATCACTGGTGGAAGGAGACAGAGGTACCACAGAAAATACTGGGAAGTGCATACTTTGTTAAAACTGACAAACACAGTAGTGTGCAAGAAGCAACAAAAGACGAGATCTCTGTAACAGGCTAAGGAAATCACAAGCAACAGCAAGAGCTGAGGCAGGAAAGCCGCAAGCCCCAGAGCAAAACTCCACTCGCTTTCTGCAGTCAAGTAGAGCATGTAGAAATAGGGCGAGAAGTTGTGGCGGATGTCTCTCCTGGTCAGGTGGTAGAGATAGGTGTGCTCCAAAAACTCCCAGCCATAGCCAAGATAAAATGCAAGGCTCAGGGCAGCAAAGGTACCACTTGACACCATCCCAAAAAGCAGAACATCACGATTCAAGAGCTGAAAGAAAAGCCCCAGAACATCATCCAGCGACATCATCCTACGCTTCTGTGCAGAGACAGTGCCTGCTTTCCTTTTCTCACCATCTCTGGTGCTTTGCAGATGGAGCGCTATCGGCAGCGCATAAGTCACAGGGTAAATTTTCATATGTACAGAAAGGCCATAAAGAACAGCTGCCTTCACCAGATGTCTCTTTTCCATACAATACATGGTACCAAGGACAAGACTCGCAACTAGAGACTCGGCATTTCCTCGGCTGGACACTGTCATTGGCAGGGGATTAAGGAGCCAAAAGGAGCAACATCCGCAGGCACTCTTACTGTCCATCCCTCGGAGGAGGAGGATTTGATACATGAGGTATGCAGCGACCATGTCCCCTATAACAAAAAGGAGCTTTCCATACACACTACTAATGTAAATGTTTGGTGTTAAGATCCAAGCCAGCAGTGGAGTGTAACGGTATGTAGCTCTCAGGTAAGGAGACTTCCTCTCTGTGATGTATTTGGCAGCATCAGTAAATACCAAATAGTCGACATCTGTATATTTTACCGGCATGGTTCTGTCTTGATAAATGCCATAAAAAACAAGTGCAAGCCTGATGATAAAAGCAATACCAAAGAGAATGTCTTTCCTGAGGAATCCTGCAAACATTTCTTTTCTTAATAGCTGATGGGATGTCATCTTTGTTCCCTTTCATGGGCCTTAAAAAGAGAAACAGAGCCTTGTATTGACCCAGACCTGAGCTGCCATCTGTTGACTGTGCCAGGATCTGAATGAGAAGCGTCTCTCCTCTTCCTTGCTGTTAATTTCTTAACATTTATACAGAATCTGAAGTGGAGTTCCATTTAAATAGCAAACAACCCTGTCCGAAAGACAAATACAAAAAGATGAATAAGTATAGTTCGTGTTAGCATTGCTGCTGTTGTCACTGTCATCACTATTCAGATTACTACTACCATGGCTTAATTTAAACAGCTAATTGTTTTCTTCTGCATGGAGCGGAGTGAGCATGGGTCTTCTTTACCTCTAATGTCTGAGAAATTCTCAAATATTCCTCAGAGAAAATTCCTCAAAGAGGGGAAAATGCTTTTTGGTCTACAATAAAAGGTTATTATTAAAGCTATATCCTTAGAAGAAAAGAAATTGAAAGAACAGAACAAGCTCATCTCCTCACTCAAAACATGGGCATATTAATTATTCTTCTATGTACTTTAAATTCCTGCCCCTACAAGTACACACCACAACCCACCTGTAGTAATGCAGAACTGGTGAAATTAAAGGTAGGCTTTGATCCTGTCATTGTCTACAAACAGCTGATTTCCAAAACAGTCCTATTCACAGTTGTATCATTTTTACTAATTTGGTCCAACTGATCTGTATTTTTGGTAAGAAGTCTCCTTGAGTTTATAGGCTTAAGTAAGCAGAATTGTTTTCTTCCTTTTAAGGAGTTCAAATGTGGAACTCAACTGTTCTGTTTATGTGGGCCAGAAATTAAAGGTACAGAAAGACTGCATCTATGTACTCACACTTTGATTGAGAAGGAGCTTGATTTGTGGTCTACACAAATTTCTCTGTTTTGGAGACAGTACAGTTTAAGCATAACTTGAACCTCAACTTTTTGGTTTAAAATAAATGTTGTTTTTTTTTTGAGGGGGGAAGAATCTCCCTGCTTTTTGGAATGTAAGAATACATACGCATCAATGTTGAGCAAATAAAGCCTGCCTTTCCTGAACAACCCAAAAAGCCATTTATTTTTAAAGGCACCCTAAAAATAAAGCAAACAGAAGGAACATAACATCTTATACTCAGTTACAACAAGCCATTTTCTCCAAACTAGCTTCCAGCTGAAGGAAATTGCAACCGCATATAAAAAAGAGAGTTGTAGGTGGGGTTGGAAGAACCCTCTTTTAGCAGATAAATATACTTGTAAGGAAATCCATGAATGACAAGATGATAAGAAATAGCTAATTCACATGAACTACATTATTACTGCACAAGAATGTTTTTCTTTTTAATAAATTCCTCTGAGAGCATCTTTTGGAAAAAGAACAAAATATCAAACTTAAAAATTAACAGAACACTGGAGAAGTCATCTAGCTACCACAACAAGATGACAATTATGATGATGGAGAAGAAATCGAATACTTTAAAAAGGACAATGGTGTATAGCAGGTAGAATGGCTTTGGGCAAGTCTCAGGCTAACCTATCTTGTCAGAGTCTGCATGGACAAAAGCAAAGCGAGCTGCTTATACTGTATACCGCCCCATAGTGCTTCAAGCACTCTCTGGGCGGTTTACAAGTTAATTATGCAGGCTACACATTTGCCCCCCCCCCGACCTCGGAAGGATAGAAGGCTGAGTAAACCCTGAGCCGGCTACCTGGGATTGAACCCCAGGTTGGGAGCACAGTTTTGGCTGCAGTTCAGCAGTTTAACCACTGCGCCATGAGGCGCACCCTCATATATGTACACCCTCATATATGTACCTGCTTTAGAGAATGGGTGGAATGCAAATATAAAAAAGAAGAAAACATAAGAAAACAAGAGGATCACAACCTTTTGATGTTCTTCCTCTGAAGAAAGAGACCTTTGTTTTATTGGCAGCTCTTAGAAACCTGGCTAGAAATGGAATTAACTTCGTATTTCTGTTGTTTTAAATGTGTATTTAGTTCTGCTTTTATCTAAGAGACTTTTAAGATTAATGTTTAAATATTCTTTTTAAAATATTGTAATAATTTATTGTTTTTTGTTTTTAATACTGTTCATTTTTAATGCTATATGCTACTTTGGGTCCTTTTTAGGAGAAGGGTGGGGGTAAAAATATTGTAAAGAAGTAAATTAAGGGGAAAGGGAAAAAAACTCTAGCAGAGGGAGGCCTGTGGTGCAATTCCATTCTCATGAGCTACCTGCAAAGGAACGCCATTTGCTCAACAATTTGTCCCACGTAGAAATGGGGTTCTGGGAAGCTTTTCAGGTGTTGCTGGACTCCAGGGCTCATCAGTCTGACCAGCGATGAGGGCTAATGGGATGAGCAGCACATCAACCTCTGGAGAGTCACGCATTCCCCACCTAAAAAAGAAACGAAAGAACAAAGCAACAAATGTAAACCATGATTGCGGGATGTGTGCGAAGCAGCAGACGCTGCTCGGACTGAGCGCAGCTGACTACCTGTTGGCCGCCAACTCCCATCAGCCCCAGCCGCCAGTAGCGAGGGATAATGGGAATTACAATCCAACAAGGGCTAGAGGCTCGCACTTTCTCCCCTTCTTCATCCAGTGAGACGGTAGGGAAGATTTCCTTTTGGGATCGGGAGGGGGGGGGAGGATATTTCTGCCTCTTCATGGGGCACATCGGACGGAGGACCGCCTCGCTAACCTGGGCGCAAAGCGAGGCTGGACAAGCCTTCACTGAACCCCTGCTGGTCCGACACGGGGAGGCGCGCGCGCGGGGGGGGGGCGAGGCTACCTGTGACTCCCCGTCGAGCTCTCTGAGGATCCAAACCCCGCTCCTCCCGGAAGAGGACACCCGCCCATTGAAGCCATGAAGCCCTGGCCCTCCTGAAGCTCCGCCTCTCCTCCGGGAAGGGAAATGGGCGGAGCCCGCGCGTGCGCTTTAGCAGCACTGAAGCCTCCACACCTTCGGGCGCTTCTCGTCTTTCCAGTTCCCAGAGGTCTGAACCCCCCCGCCGTGGAAAAGGAAAGGAGGAGCCGCTCGTCCCTGCACGGGGTCCGCGCAGGCCCGGGACTGCTGACATTTCATACGGGGGTGATGAATCGAGCACTTTTAAAAGTCAGTTTGGTGTTGGAACTATGTAGCGGGGGGGGGCGGGGGCTAGGATTTAACGCTTAGAAAGGAAATGTAGCGGAGGGCCCGGTTCAACGTTGATGTTCCCACTTTTCCCCAGTGCAGAACGGAGGCAAACGGAATTACATTTTTTAAGGACAAAAAGGCAGAACTGGGAGGGTTGTTATTGTTGTTAAATTGCATGTCCATTTTATTCTTTCTTTCTAGAAATCCTGTGTGTTTTTACTCTCTCTAAACCCACAATCCCACATTTTTTGTCGCTGGGATACAATAGCGATTCATAAGATTTCCTGTCCCTTTTTTATGTATACAAAGTGCAGGGGAATGTTGCTGTTTTCCTTATGTTGTTTCCCTTTCAAAGATTGGCTGGCTCGCTCAGTTTGCGCAGCCTGACTGCGGAGCCACAGAGGCTGGGAGTTCAATTCCTTACTTGTCCTCAGTGGAGAAGAGTGTACTGTATGTGTAGCCAGGCCGGGAAGAGGAAGGACAGACCACTTCTGAAAACTTTCTTTCTAGAACACCCTGCAAAAGGGGGGAGGCATGAGACGGAATGGCCTTGAGGGCATACCATTCTTGTCCCCTCCTCACTGCCACAATGGCCAGTAATTTTCGACTTATGAGAAGTGTTTGTGATAAACACTTTTGCAGGCATAACATGATAGAAGCAACCAGAGGAAGGCCAAGCCTGGAACTAGCATAAGGTTCTTGAAAAGCAGAACAGCAGCAACAAAATCCTTTTGCAGGCATAACATGATAGAAGCAACAAGAGGGCCAAGCCTGGAACTAGCATAAGGTTCTTGAAAAGCAGAACAGCAGCAACAAAATCCAGTGGAACCCACAGCTGGGCTTTCGGTTATTGTTACATCAACCATCGTTTGTGTCTTGACGATGACAATGATCATGAGAGTGATCGGATTCTAAGCTTCACTTCTTGGTAACTGACCACAACTCTGTACAGCTTTCTTCATTATGTAGGTGATGTGTACAGGAGCACAAAGGTATTATTATATCAGATATGTAGAGGTATCTTAAATTGTAGAACTTGTATGTTTGATTAGAAGTTTAATTTAATTTCCATCATATTACATTGTATTGTACTCTCTTGATTTTATATTGTGTCTTTTGCAAAGGCCCGTGTGCGATGCAATAAACTGAATTCAGTTCCGTGTTCGGTATTTTGCCAGTGCATATCCTCTCCGCTGGTACATATTTGTCTTTTATCAGTGCAAAGGATCTAATAGCAATCTCATCTTCATCCAGGAGATGTAACTTTTGGATATGATTGCACTGACAAGGCTTTTAAGTCTTGTGTAAGGATCAGTGGTGGGGACGTGGTGGCACTGCGGGCTAAACCGCAGAAGCCTGTGCTGCAGGGTCAGAAGACCAGCAGGCGTAAGATCGAATCCACACGATGGAGGGAGTGCCCATCGCTTGTCCCAGCTCCCACCAACCTAGCAGTTTGAAAGTATGCAAATGCAAGTAGATCAATAGGGACCACCTCGGTGGGAAGGTGACAGTGTTCCGTGTCTAAGTCGCACTGGCCATGTGACCACGGAAGATTGTCTTCGGACAAAACGCTGGCTCTGTGGCTTGGAAACGGGGATGAGCACCGCCCCCTAGAGTCGAACACGACTGGACATAAATTGTCAAGGGGAACCTTTACCTTTAAGGATCAGTACCTGTTTGTGAACCTTGATTTTCAAGGACTTTGCTATATGCTAAGTCTTTCCTTTCACTGCCTGTACCTATGCATATTAACAAGCAATCCTTTTTATTACATATGAGGAGAGCAGATGAAGGAATACAAAATCTAGAACTGGGTTGATCCAATAGAAAACAAAGTGCAACATTGTGTCGATCATCATGTGCTACTACCACATTTTCCCCACTGTGTTTATATTCTCTATATTGTCATAGTCACTTCCCTATACAGTACTACCATGTTTTCTCCACTGCGTCTGTATTCCATTTATTATTATAAGTCACTCTCCTTGAACTGGACATATGCCTTGTTTCAGTAAGACAGTAGTGATTGCATGTTATTTGTGTGTTCTTTTAGAGCCAATGTCACCACCATTAGTAATATCCTGTTACTGAATTTATTTTACCAATAACAATGGAATAGCGTATCTCGTGGCTTTCCCTTTTGTGTATTTGGGATGTTCTATTTTACAATTCTCTGTGGAGTCCTACCCTTTTTACAACCCCCATCCTCAGAAATAGAATCTGCTTCCATTTAAAGGTTTATTCTCAAACACTGCCGAACAATTGTCAGTGGCATTATGTTTCTGCTGGTTAAACAGTAAAGACAAAGCTCTTCTGCAAGAAATAAAATACAGCATCCTGTGAATAGGTGGTAATTCGTTACGTATGACCTAACAATGGAGATACATCTATTAATACTTCTGGAGCAGATGGATGTGCCCTTTCTCAGATTTCACACTTATGCATATTGTGAACATTCAAGTGCCAATGATAGTTATAAGTATCACCTTATTTAATTTTTCTTATGGAAGGTTATGTAGTACCTCATAGGGTCTACTGGGAGATGTGCTGGTGATGTATATTAGAAAGAGTGCTAGCTGGCTGCCTTAGAGCCTTTTTGGAAAACAGGATTTTTCACCTAGTCTAGATGGTACACAATCCCAGAAAGATCAGGTAGCTTGAGGGTGCTCCAGGACCTAGCTTTATCAATGAAGGCTCAGGTTGCATCTGTGACCAGGAACACCATTTGTCTACTTTGGTTGATTGCCCAGCTGTACCTTATTTGGACAGAAAGTGCCTAAAGAAATAATACATACTTTGGTAAGCTCAAAGAAAGGCTACTGCAATGCTCTGTACATAGGGCTGCCCTTGAAAACAATATGGATGTTTCAGAAGGTCCAGAATGTGGTAGCCAGACTCATTGAAGGGACTAGTAAATTTGATCATAACTCTGCAGTTCTGGCATGCTTGCAGTGTTTATTTTTGTGCTGCTGTGCTCAATAACAGTTGGGAAACATTGACATCTGAGCATTCAGCCTGGAGGCAGGTGGTACATCATGGCCTCTCCCATTTTGAAGGGACACTTCTTCAGCAGGCCGAGGCAAAGAGGCAGTCCCAGCAAAATCAGGGAGCTGGACAGGGGACAGATTGTATTTGTCTTCAGTGTGGAAGGGACTGTCACTCTCGAATTGGCCTTCTCAGCCACACTAGACGCTGTTCCAAGTCCTCTATTCAGAGCATGTTACCATAGTCTCTCAGGAAGGCCTGAAAGTCTACAACTAGGATGCCTAATCTTAAAAATGTGCTAAATTCAAGGTGCTGGTTTTGATCTATAAAGCTCTAAATGTTTTGGGACCTCAATATCTAACAGAACATCTCTTCCTAAAGTAATCTACCAGTCCCCTTCACTCCTCACAAAATTTGTCATTGAAAGTGCCAATGCCAAGGAAGGCCTGAAAGTCTACAACTAGAATCCTTGAACTTTCTGCCCTGGCCCCTTATTGTAGAACAATGGATGGTTGGCAGTTTGCCAAGCACCATCCCACTTGACTTTCAAAAATATGCTAAAGACTGAATTTGTAAAGACTGCCTTTAGTGGTCTTACACCAAAAATCCATGAGAACTTGCCATAGCATTCACCATTTTATTCTAGGCAGGTAGTTTGGATGTTAGACTGAGTTTTAATTTTACTATTTTCATTCAGCGGAGGATATTTTGTCTTTTGTGTTTTTATTACTATGCTTGTCTGTTGTTCATGTAAGTCGCCTTAGGTCCTTTTGGAGAGAAAGGTAGCATAGAAATATTTTAAATAAATAAATGTTTAATGGTTTGGTTGAAAATTTTAAAATGATATACACTTCTTTCTAATAGCCACTGTTATTTAATTTACTGTTATATGATTATTCTGTATGTGAAGAGTACTTCATGAAGCAGTTGGACTCAGAATAATCTGGTGTGTCTTTGCTGGCAATAACTACACAGAAGCTAAAGAACCATCTGTCAGAGATGTTGTGAGTGCATCCTGCACTGCAGAGCTTGCACAGACATCCTGCAAGATCCATTCGGAGTCTAATTTCTATAACTGCGGCCCAAGTCCTCTTCATAGTCATAGTGGCTTTGCCAAATAGCATAGCTTTTAGAGGTGAATTGCCCCATGTTAATAAATCACTTTAGATATTATCAGTTGCATACTGAGATGTATTGCTCACCAGTCAACTGATAATGCCTGTGATGATTTCTTAGCTTGGGGTAATTTGTCTCTGAAAGTTATGTGATTTGCGTAACTAAGCAAGAGGATTTCAGTTTATGAATAAAACGTGCATCATTGTGAGCATATGACTGCAAGCAATTTACCTATTTCCCCCCCTTAACTGTGTGATTTGCCATAGGTCACAAATCTCGCAGCATATGTTCCATCAGGTGACAGAGGAAAGCACTGGGTAAAATATATGAACATATTGTGAGCATATAGGTGTGTGTGCGTATCTACTGATTTAGAAATAGCATGTTAGGCTTAGAAATATGGGACTTCAGATGCTGTCTTTTGATCATTGGATTATTTTAGTGATGTGAT